GTTCATTTTTACTATTATATTTAACATAGATTTATCATAGATTATTATTGTCCTTTTAAAAGTTGTAAAAATTACTTAATTCAGCCTTCGGGCCGCGATGTGATTTAAATAAACCATCTATACCTATACCATATACCATCTAATAAGCGACATCTTCATTTATAAAGTTCCAGTTCGCCTAAATGGAGCAAATGAGGACTACGGTGGAAGAGTAGAAGTATTTTTCATGGGGAAATGGGGAAAGATCTGCCGCAATGCATGGGACTTCAATGATTTTAAAGTGATTTGCCGTCAACTCGGTTTCGAAGATGCTCTGGCTGAGTTCATTGGCTCAGATGTGAAGGAAGATGAAATTCCGTTTGTAATGTTTGATGTAGCCTGCTCAGGAAGTGAACCTCAACTGGCATTATGTCCTCGTACTAATGAAAATCTCAATAGAGATGTTAATGTATCTGCTGAACTGTGTCGAAAAGATGACAAAGCAGCTCAAGGGTTGTGTCAACCCAGTAAGACTTTTCTTTCAGATCAAATCCCGTTTAATCAAACTAATCATCAGATGAATTCAAATGTGGGGCGTCCACTTTGTTCAAAATAGACTTATGAGAGAATTAGTGTGATAAAACTATAGCTAGGTGGGGAACGTTTACCATGAACGAGATCTACCTCCCTACATAGTGCCATTCAACACCCTACCATAAAAAATAGACGAGGGACTTTGAAACAATATTACTTGGAAAATTTCTCAAATTTTGAACGTTTTTTGTTTACATTTAGTGGTACAAAGTTCTTCTTTTTGATAACCAGTTTTTTTTTTATTTTTGTTCTTTTTTTTTGGTCTTAACAGAGAACAAACAAGTCTTGGAGAAAAAGCAACTGTTTTTGAATATTGGTAGAAATGAAATGCTTCGCTGCTCCATGCAAAATAAGACCAATTATGTTAGACGGTTCATTTATGGTAAATATCAAGACGCGAATTCCACATCTGGAAAGAGGATCAGGACTTCTGACAATGGTGAGTTCTTCATAGACAGAGTGCAGGAGTCTGACGGAGGACTTATGAATGCAGAAGACTGGAATATGTTCATTATTACATAATATACGTAAACGGTGAGCTGAACTGTTAATATCATTGTTGACTACATGTGAACCTGTTAGGTTAGTGGTGGATGGTGATACTTGCCAAGATTAGTTTCTCAATATCTTTTGAGAAAGATAACATTTACTTTTATATTTATTTTTCACGTCTATCTTACATTATTCCTGCACCGCACAGGTGAAAAATTTTTATCTTCTTGGAACCGAAGCAATTGTAGACGAAGTTCCCGACCTCTCGTCGAGTAAGGCTACGTTATCTCTTTTCTTTCAACGGCGAGATTTACTGATAAGACCAAGTCTCGACAAAACGTGATTGCCGGCACTCTTGGAATTATTCACTGTAGTTCCGAAGGTACTCCAAGCCCGCAGATAACGTGGAGTAAACAAGGAGGAATGGAAGTGAACCTGGGAAGATTCATTCAACTTTCCAATGGCAGTCTACACATTAATCCTGTCCATGAAGGAGAAAACGGAACGTACATCTGCGTCATGCAACAAAATAAGGGAGCTGATAGAGTTACAAGTGACCATAAAATCATAAGTGTGTCAATAATAAGTGAGTACAGAATTGCAGTGATAGAAAGCAGGCTGTAAAATTTATCCCCCATCAATTAAATCGTATTCTTTGAACCGTGAAGCTCCAGCGACATTCAATCAGATTTGAATTTTATTAAAGTTCGATTTAATGACAAAATACATCAGCTGGGTCAAAAAATGATAACGATAACTGAAAGCATTATTCTTTCATTTTCAATAGATTAGGGTAAGCGAAAGTGATGTTATCAGACCAATTTTTTTCAAGTCTAAGATTCTTCAAAACAACGAATAACTCTTAAAGTGCTCTCAAAACTGTAGGAAGAGCAGCGTTAATAACCACAGTACCTCTGAAATGATATTTTGACCTGTACTTGTAAATGAGATGTTTATAAAGTTAATTGCAATCAATTTATGGTAGGAAAATGTGTATAAGAATGTGATTAGATTAGAATAAGGCACTTTTTACCTCAATAGCAGGTCAAATACTGAATTGTTTCCTACGTTTGTTACTTGTGCTCAACCAATTGGTGGTAGACACGGGTTCTGTACCAGTTTTACTTTACAGAGATTTCTAATTGAGTTGACTTGGTAGGATTAATTCGTCACATGATAAAGATTTAAAAGTGATAAAATACATGGATGAAAATGATTGGCTGTTGTGAAAGGAAAGTCTAAGAGTTTAGTTGAGCATTCAGTTTTTGTTATTTCCTCTCTCTTCTTAGCTCTCCCGAAAATTCATGTTATTATACCAAACAATACCATCAGAGAAGGAGACAGTGTTAACTTGACTTGTATAGTTGATGCAGGTTTCCCTGAGTCCCAAATACGATGGACAAAATATAGTACCCTTAGAGGACAGAGCAACGCTATTTGTCTGACCAGGGTGACAACAAAAGACCAAGTGAGGTACACCTGTGAAGCGGTCAACTCTGGAGGGTCATCCAGTGACAGCATTTATGTCAAAGTCCAAGGTAACCGTAATAAAGAGTTTAGCAGTTGCATATCGGGTTTAGTTTTGGAATTAAGATGAGGAAGTTCCAGTAAAGGACACCTAATAATAATCCTGACCGGTCAGTCAGGCGTAATGTTTCGCTTTAATGTTTGGAATTAGGTTGCAAAGAGTATAATACAAGTTTAACAACTTTTTTAACAACTTAGTTAACAACTAGGAGCAGATGAGAGTTCATTTGGCGTGGGATTGCATTGATACTGTAGAATCTTCCAGTCGAACCATGAATATTCACAGTTTTCCTCTGCAATTGGGACTGAGCAGTGGACGTATTTTAAATCGATTGATGCTAAAATGTACGATGGTGTAAACTTACACAAAGTAAGTATACGCCGACGCGACCTCATGCAATTTCATAGCTTGTTCTGAACCAGGTAACAACAAACAATGGGTGTTAATACTCATAGCCCTGGATATAACAAATTTAAAGTGGTTTGTTGTTGCTGTCGTAACCTGGAAGCCGAGCTGCATGTAATGTTGGAGATACACACACGCTCTTATCTTCGCACGCTATCTCACATCATGTCAATATTTTCACTTGGGATCCTGACTTGAAACATACCAAGCCTAGAGAAACTTTCTCGCTTTAACTTTTTAGTACCACCTCAACTTAATCCTGAACTCAAGAACCGTTCCATTGCATTGAACTCTGCTTTTGCAACACATTGTTTTGAGAGGGGCGACCCACCAGTAAAGAACAAATGGACCAAGAATGGAGAGCGACTTGGTAACAAGAACACTTTGGTTATCAGCTATGTAACTTTCGAGGATGCAGGCATTTATGAATGTACTGCCAAAAACCATGCTGGGATAGCTAAGGCTACTTTCTCGATTGGTGTACATGTAACAGGTAAATCAAAACTATCATTTCGTGTCAGTGTTGCCAAACACGTTGGCAATAGTTATCTATCATGTAGAAGTGAAAGGAAGAGACTCCAGTAAGAGTAAAAACACTCAGCACGCTTATTGGCACGTTCTTTTATGTTGGATTCAGCAAAAAAACTAAAAGCTGAAAAGGTGAAAAGTATACGTGGAGCAGAAACGATCATAATAGCACTTCAAAATGTACCAACCTGTAATGGGAACAGTTAAGAACAATAAAAAATGAAACTTCGATATTCCATCGATTACAAGTACATTTAACTGCAGAGTTGGTTTAGCACTGGTCACTGCTGGTTAGCCCATTGGGCTCAAGATTGGGTGGTCAGGGTTCGAGCGTAGCCTTGGTCATTGTGTTGTGTTCCGGTGGAAGACACCATACTCACACAGTTCCTCTTCCCAATGACGAATGCATTCGAATGCATTCGCTCTTACGAAGGGCAAACGCTCGAAACTCCATACGGGGGCCAGTTTACGTAATCAACTCAGTTGACAAAACTAAATTACCTTGTTATACTCTCTCACCGATGCAGTACCACAGTTGCTTTAGAAACTTATCCCCCATTCAAGGGGAGTTTGATATAAAGAAACAAGCCCAGAAGGTGCCCAATCTCCAAACCAAAGAAAAGTTGAATAAAAACTGACGATTAGCGGCATCCATTCTATTCTTAAAGAGGCTTTAAATGTTATTCAATATTCTCGTATAATAATTTATTACAAACCTAAACAGTATTCGAATGTTGAGTACATATACGTAGTTAACGATTCTCAAGTAGTCGGGAATCCAATTCCTACTCTTGGCCACTTCGCAAAAAATGGAGAAATGAAGAAGTGGTTTGTCGCAAACCAGAGAAAATTATCGACCGCGAGTTTGTGAACAACTTTTCGAATCATGTGGGCTCCCCCCCCCCCCCGGGGCAAAAAGAAGTTCATTGCCTCTGACTGGGTGTACAAGGTATTATCAAGAAACTATTGAGCAAAAAAAACGAACCTAAGAGTAACTCACAAACAGGTTGAATTGCTGTCAACGTGCCATTTGGCCCATGAACCAATTCACCGCCGTGATCGAAAAAACAATTTCACTTAACACTCACTCATTTATGAATTAGATTGCTGTAAACACTCTAAAAATCCCCTCAGGGGTAGGGGTGCAAGGCTTCCGCAAGGTTATCATAGGAGAGGAGGTGGGGATCATTATAAGCCGAGATATTATAATCTCTCGTTATAAACACATTTATAGAAAGAACGCGGGTATCTATTTTTTCCTAACAGTAGCTGACCTTAATGAATAAAGTAAAGGATGCAAAGTAAGGATTCTATACAATTGATGTTATAGTATTGCTATTTTGTCCTGTATTTTCATTTCAAGCAGGATTGTCATGATTATGTTGACAAGGTAAGTAGGGATGGTGGCATATATGAGAGTTCACCCTGAGCCCAAACTTTTATGAGCTTACGACATAATCCGAAGTTGAAAGTCCTTTCTCCCAGAATATAATGATTTGCGACATTAGTGTAATGTTTCACGCAATTTCTTTGTCAGAAATATCTGAGATAAAGCCCGCTACTCAAAGTACCATTTTATCGTTTAACAATGTTTCTAACCTTTTTCTTACTGCTCCGGCCGTTGGGAAAGTCATTATAAACTTTTCGTCAATTTGAATCCGTGATTTTCTGTTATTTTAACACGAAATTGCTCAACCAACTACGCCTACCTGTTGAAGATTTTCACCTGTTTGATCAGCTGGTGTTCTTCTTCAGTCGTGTGACTAACAAGCTGACACAGAACAAGTGGCGAGTGACTTTAACAATGTGCAATAAAACAAAATTGAACAAACTGTAGACGTTTAGAAAAAGAATTGAAGCAATTACTGCAAAATGTCATGTTAAAAAAGAAGTCAGGCGTTCAAATTACCGGGAGAAAACAATTATGGCTTACCAAATGTTTTAGGTGAGAGGCATAAATAATGAAGATATTCACAGAAACTCGGAAAAATCTCAGTCATCCTTATTTTTAGCGTAAATGTACCTGGCCAATGGAAATACAGTAAATAGAGTTTCAGAGTCCCGGCTTGCTAAACTTTCACACAAAACTAAAAATTATCGCGGTAAAAGTTGTAATTGTCAACAGTTGGTTACCTGCATGTGTAAGCTATTGCGCTCGGTTTTGTAAACGTTTGTCATGCTACATAAATTCGCAATATGGTTCATTTTCATCCGAATTGTTGCATTTCAAATGAGAGCTGGAGCTTCCAAATACGAAGAATTCAAAATTAATTGGTGTCGCCAGCGAAAATGGCGACTGGATTGGGAACGTCTGCAGAAACCTTGTCAGAACCTTAATTATAGAAGACACGATGGACAACAATATCAAAGGTAACTCGCTATTGAATTACGTAAGGAAAAAAGCCCTGTTATTGAACATAAGATAAGAACTGATTAAGAGATCTCAAATAGGCAGAGTCAAGGCCTGACTCAAAGTTTTGACATGCTTTTATTTAGCTGAATCTTTTAATCAGGTTACCATTGCAAGAGAATATTACCAAGATTTTGTAATACACTAACTTATCCTGCTGACCCCAGAGGAAAACTGGCCCAAAGAGCAAATTTTTCGAGGTCATTCACTATCACCTTTTAACAAACCGTCTTGCTCGCAATAATTATAATAGAAGGGATTTGGCCTACACGTTGCCCATAGGGCTCACTGACCCTTACATCCTTGATTAGAAATATTTATGGCTCCAGTATGATTTTGTTTATATTTTGAACAATTAATGTGGACAGATGGTAACAGCCTATCCAACCAACTGACAATATTTTGCCTCAGGTTGAAAACGTCTCCTGAACACAGTGAAATATTTGATTTACAAATCCGGCCCGCAGGGGAATATAGTCGGTTTTTCGTCCAGTCCCGCACGCATACTGCTCAGCGGAAGACATTCGGAGGGGACTCGTGGAGAGTGTACATTGAAGGGCCCTCACACCTTGCAGGGACCGTGTTTGATCACAATAATGGAGTATACGAGGTTTTGTTTCTTATCATGGAGCCTGGAGAGTATAAAATCAAAATGATTCTGGATTATACATTGTGTGATGGATTAATTGATCCTCCAATGGACTGGTTTAAAAATGGTAAGAAACAGGTGATCGAAACTGAAAAGAAAACACATTGTAGCTGAAGACCCTTTCTTGTGGGTAACCTCCTGGGGTACTCTGGTAAGACGGCTGATGATATTCAAGATTCCTTAGTGTTCCCATTCGCCGTGCTCGTGTTAAGTCTCATTCTTTACAAGCTTCCAACGTATGCATGCGTGGTCAAAAACGAAGTACTTTTGCTACGAAAATCGATCTAGGTCAGAGTGGACAGCCACAATAGGCATGATCAAACCCCGCCATCAGCAAACTAAAGAAATCAGTTAGTCGGTTCATTTATACATCAATGAATGGATTTGCGATTAAGAAATTTTTTTCACCAATCAAATAGTACTCTGCAATCACGTTAACGAATTTCATGAATTGCGGTAGATGTAAGTGATAGATAAAATTTCCACTCTCTTATTTTCATCCTTTTTCATGTCATTATTTTGTTTGTGATTTATTTTAAGCTCACTGCTCGGGAAAGTTACACAATGTATCCCTTGGCAAGAATCTCTTCTCAGAAATGACTGGATATATCAACAAACCTCTGTTGTCTGCTAAAACCAAAAAACTTACCATCCCATGGCAACGCCTCACAACCATAGGTACGTTGAAATCCCCTCTTTAGAATACCTTTCTTATAATGTTTTGAAATTCACTTTTTATTTATATTGGGCGAAAAATTTTAGCTGCAGTTCAATTTAATTAAAGCGTTCTAGATACAAAAATAACTTTTACTTTAAAATGCAAATGAAAATAATAATAATTATAAATAATAATAATGTCAATAAGAACCAGCTCTATTTATTGAGAGTAACGCATACATGTAACAGTATAACTCATGATGAACTTTATATATGAAATGACGTTATTTAAACTTAAGAAAGAGCAACCTCCCTTTCACTTATATCTTTTAATTGTACATTTCCCTTAAACATGGGTGTCTGATGCTTATGTCCAGTCATCAGATTTTCGGTCACCCTTTGCAAGAAAACTTTACCATAAGTCTAGCGTGCTGTGACTGTCCATAATTTTTCATCTTTGTTCATGTTAGAGATTCAGAAAAACATGCGCCAAGCAGACAGAGAGTGTGATATTCAGTGTAACCTGGTGTGGGATGGCTTTGGTAGATGGGTGACTGGTTACAAATGGCTACCGTACATGAATTTTACAGGAGAAGGTAAGCAAGCAGCATAATGCAACTGAAAATAGTTCCAAAAAAGAAAAAAACTCTAAAAACTGCTTGTGAAAGGCGATATGAAAGGCGATGTAAATGTGGTCCGTTTCTTTAGAGGATCATGTGATGGAGGAAAAGGGCCTTCTCCGCCGAGATGAGTTCTCTAGAAAGTGCTCAAGCCTAATATTCGAAGCCTCATTAAACAATGAATTCGTCCATTTAGAATGTACGCTTCGAGTGAACTTCGCTTGTGGATTACTTTAAATAATATAATTCTTGAAAACGATTGGTTCTTAAAAGCCCTTATTCGTGACTCGACTAGCTTTTTCTAGTCAAAACTGTCAGATTTCACCTTTCCAATTACAAGTAATCAGGCAGCACTTTCAGCCATCAGCCAATAAAATTTAATTTCCAAGCTAATGCGAGCCAATTAAAATGAAGAAAAACTTTTTTTCATCAAGCAGGTTGGAAGATCGTCGTTGAAAATAAACATATCTCCATACAATAAGAAGTGTGTGTGCTCTTACATTTGTCATTCCTGTGTTTTTCCCTTTTTGCTAATGATATAATAAATAATGGTAGGAGGACCGAGTGGAGTCCAATTTGGTCTTTAATCATACGAGTGATTAACAAAATCGGACGACCGCAAAGCGGGGGTCTGATTTGTCAATCACGAATACGATTACAGACAGAATTGGACAACGCCAAGTCCTGTTATCAATTAATCATAACCACTACAATTTCCGAAAAAAAGAAAATATATTAAGGACAAACATCTCCAGTAGGGACAATGTCTAAAGTAAAAAATTTGGAAATTTCCTTTTTTTTTCAGGGTAAATGGTTGTTGCTATGGTTATTTTGATTAATTCTGTGATTAGTGGATTTAGCTGAGTGGACTTAGTATGATTGGCTGCTTCAACTGTTCGATTACATGTGTTCTATTACAGTCAACCGTCCGATTACACTGTCTGATTACAGTTGTACGGAAAGATTAGTGAAATATAAAGCAGCTGATGCACCAATCACATTTGAGGAAATTGTAATGGTTGTGATTAAGTGGTAGTCAAGCCACTTGTCTTTCAATTTAGAGGCAAGCGTGCTCGTAATTTAAAATCAACCTCGTGCTATGCTCGGCAAATTTGAAATCCCTCCCCTGATTACTCCCTGAATTGTACTTCGCTTAGTCCTATTACCACTGCTAAGGAATTTTCAACAACAACATTAAGATCTACCACTGTATCATTATATGACAGATCAATCATAATAACCTCAACATATTGGTCTTTGTTCACAGATTTCTCATCTCTGCAAAACAAATATAAACGCCAACACGATCATGCGGTTGGTAAAGGCGTATTCTGGGTCTATGGTGATTCGCTGAGCTATTACTTCTACGAATCACTCAATTTTCCCATGTCGCAAAGCTTGTGCTTTAAAATATTTGAGAAATGCAATAACACGTATAACTGGATATACCCAAAGACACTTTACGAATTGGTAAGTTTTTGACTAATATGCTCGCGTATACAAGCATCACCAAATACAAGAATCTTTTGGCGCTGAATAAGAGTTATCGTGTTTATCATCTTTCATATAGCTTTCTTAGCGCCCGGGACGGAGCGTTTTCACACACTTCATCGACAAAAATGTTTTACTGTGTTGGTTGCTAACGTGTCAGTGTTCTCTGCACGACTTTTCTGCTCTTATGCTTGTCCTTTTACAGAAGCAAAACACAGTTCAGTTAATATTTCCAGTCCAGCCGTGAATTTTACCCCCTTAATTTTTGTTTTTTCTGCACAGACAGAAACATGCGCTGAGGTCAACTTGCAAGTTCCCAGAGTTTTAGGCTTTTTCCGTCAAGTGCTCCTCAGGAAAGATATGGACAAAGACAGCGCACTGTTGTTAAATGCTGGAGCTCACTATGTCAAGGTGTTCATGTCGTCCTTCAATTTCCAATCTTCATTGTTGTTGATGACAATGATGAGGATTTTATAATCATCGTTATAAATGTTACAGTTCAATTTGTTTATCTTGTGTTTACGCAAAGAAAAGCGAAAACAAATCCTGGCAATGGAACTTGATCGACATTATGGCAGGGAGGCCATATGAAATTTTTTATTCCTTTAAAATAAAAAACTGATCGATTGACTAAAATCGCTGTGTTATTTCTTAGACGACAAGTTTCAAAAGTTATAAAGAGGTAATCACAGCACTGATAACCGAAATGAAGAGACTGTACAAGGGCAAAGCTATCTGGAAATCGACCACAGCGATCGATGCTCAATCCGCTGACATTATGGGCGCCTTCCGCAGATTTACGACAAATCACGTGTGTATTTTACGGTTCTGAAATATTATTTTCTTGTTGTTAATATGTTAATATGCATTACTCATTTTTACCAACAGCTAATGGAGGAAACTTCACTTAGAAGTGTGTGTAATGGTAATCGTTTCATCAAAGATCTGATTGTTAATTCTCCCTTGTAGCTGCTACACAGTTCCTTGTAATATAGTTACGAGGAGTTGGTGTTAGATCAAGATGTAAACTTCTACCTGATAAGTTTGAGTATTCTCATTACCTGCTCGCTGGATAATGTATGGATGTCAGAGGGAGACGATACATGTTAATCACTTCTGGGAGTTAGACGGTTTATGACTCGTACGGAAGCCAAACACTTTTTAAAGTATTTTGATTATACCACTATTCTGCAAACATTTATATGCTTCCATCAAAGTTTACCTTCCTTTAGTTTGAGAGGACTGCTCACCTTCCTTTAGTTTGAGAGGACTGCTCACCGCTTTCAAGGCAATGCAACTGAATGAAATTTCTCCTCTTTTCTAGCCAATTAAGCCTGTGGAAAAAGGACTTGTGTTGAAGATACACCTGCGGTTGTTCAAACCCTTTAACAAAACAATTTGATGTTCATAGTTCACTTTCTGCCCTACTTTGATTAAGTACTAAAAAAAGTGATTCTCTTTCTCTGATTTGCGCACTCTAGTGTAATCAAAAAAGAAACCTGTCTCAAGGAACTAATGCATGGATAGCGTAATTAGTTTGACGACCTTTTTGTTCACTTTTCAGAGGATCCAATTGTACAATGCGTTTGCCAACTCAGCCATGTGTGCAAGTGGTATAAGTGTTCTTGATGTATATCCTATTAGCGCCTCATATCCACCAGGAACGATGGATGGGATACATTACGACAGTGAAACATTTTATCCGGTCATAGAGCAATTGGAAAAATACTTCTCGTTGTCTCAGTTAACATGACCGTGAAGAGTCTATGTAAACTTATTCATACCCTCTCTTGAAGTTTCATTTCCAATTATCAAAATATCTGGGTAATTTAGTATTATCAACTGAGTTGTTAACGTAAATTGGTCATCGTAAAAAATTTAAAAGCTGACGTTTCGAGTGTTAACCCTTCGTCAGAACGATTAACGAAGGGCTAACGCCCGAAACGTCAGCTTTGAAACTCTTTAAAAATAAAAAAAAAGTAAAAACCAAAAGCCTTCGCCTCTTCCACTCATTTTGCTTCAATTTAAACGAAATAACACTGAACTGAAGTGGAAAAATTGCAATTTTTTGTAAGATACGCCATTCAGTCACTTAATATTGAATTTCGCAAACGAAACGCATCGATTTGCGATGTAAATCTAATTATAGGCTTTAAAGCGAACAAATCTACGTTCAAACTTCTCTTACAACCTCTCTTGTGAGCTATGTTATTAAAGATAATTTCCATGTGTGAACTCAGAGGAAACATTGTAAGGTTAATAAGATACATGAAACAATTACTCAGTTCTGATTGGTTAAAATTAATGCAGTTTTCAGGTAATTAAATGCAAAAGAGGTCTAATTCAGTGAAAAGAAGTAACAAACCAGACTGAACAATTCCTTGAACTGTTTAGCCGGACTTTCAACTTTTTTGCGCCTTAAAGATGTAAAAATATCATTGTATATTATTGTTGTGATCGTGTGCGGTTGGTTTAAGCGAACGCACGATTTGAATAAATTATTTTTGCATTTGACGCGCGCGCTTTGCTTCTTCATAATTATAGTAAGGTATCTCGTATTTTTACAAGTATATTATTAATACGTAATCACATGATTTTTCTCGTGCAATTTAGAATAAATAAGCACTTGCGAATTTTTTCAAAGACCACAAATTGCAATCACCCTACAGGATCGTGCAATTTTGTTAGTCTTTGAAAAAATTTAGTCGTGCTAATTTATTCCAAATTGCACTCGAAATCATGTGATTACTACACAAATCTACGGGATTCAGTAGTTTCGATTAAGCTAATGATATGACCCTGTTATCACTACCGAGATGAAATCAATTGCTCGAATATTTTGGTAGACCGTAGCTGTGTATTAACATGCGATAAGAAAACCAATTAAAAGAAGCAATCCTCTTGCGTTTTACAAATTTGCCATAGTCGTAATTTCGTTGTTTTCTGGTCCTCACGTAACTCTGATGAGGTTCCTTAATCACCGAGGTTCAAATTTATCATTACTTATTGGAGTTTGGCGACAAAATTGTGTTTGTTTCATTGTGGTGCTACTCATCTATTGAAACCGAACTAACTTACCCCTCCCCTCCAGCAATTGTGCACTCGGGTTTAGTTTCCACGCGGCCAACTTCGCATGAACGCGTCCGCGGAGTGTGTTAAGAATTTCGAATAGACATTCGCACATATACTTGGGTTTTTGGCTGCTGTTGTTGGCTTGCCGAAGAGAGATATTTTGAAGGTAAGCTCATTTTAATTCTGTAATGTGTTTCTATCTGTCGAGGTGGAATCCTAGGTTAATTCGATGCAAACTCTTGGAAACATGCCCCTTACCTTTCGAACAATACGAAATTCGAATTCGTTCGGTGGAACTGCAACTGTAAAATAAATGTAGAAAGGAAAGCATTAAATTCTAGTGTAACAAATCGCATAAACGCTGTGGTGGAATTTTTAGACTACAACATTTATCTTATACAAGGCATAACGTTGCTGGTTGGTTTAAAATGGTACATTCAGTCATGTAAACTAAATTATGGGCAAATGAAATAATCATTATTCGGTAAGATTTGGAGTTCGATATTTCTTCTCGAAGTAATACACTTCAGTTTAGTAAGAGGAGTACGATGTCAACTTACACAGTTTAATTTATCCTCATTTTTCTCAAATTTAATCAAAATGTTGTCCCTCTACGTTTGAAATTCAAGTATTTCAATATTCTGCATCCAAGGGAATATTGTTGTTGATACCAAAGTAAAGACCTGTGCACCTACACTTTGGGTTATTCTCACATGATCTAAGGCTACGTTTGGTCTTTTCTTGCTTCCTGTTGTCTATTTGCTCCGATAGCTTTGTAGCAATCGTTAACTCTCACTCCTGGTTAGATGATAAATCTCCTGGTCTCCTACTCATGCAGTTACAGGGGAATAGGGTGGGTGGGGAGACTTGCTTCCCAAATCAGAGCCTCAATATATATTTCAGATTTCCAATGGTTGACATGTCTGATGTAGTCTTTCAGTTCAATAAATTATAATTAGTAATTGGCTCATTTCACATTAAGGCTACACTTCTCACATGTTCAAGTGGAGCTTTGTTTTATACATAGTGATATTACACACTGAAAAGGCATGAAGTAAATTTTTATACACAAGCTTGTTTTTTTTCTCATGTAAGGAAAATGATACATCTACTCAGAAGCTATATTTCATATTTCTTCACATATAAACCATACCAAGGCAATTCTTTTTAAACCTTCCCTGGAAGCATTTTGCTTTTCAAACCATTTGGAAAATTTATCAAATTCCACCCTCAGGGCTGTTTATTAGGTCAAATTACTTACAAAAGATGAGTGAGGAAAGATGTGCCACTTACCAGACTTTTGTGAAGGATTATGTGGAATAGAAAGCTTGCAGAAAAATGCACAAAAGAGGAAACAAAGAAAGATTTGAAAATTTTCAAAGAATTTTTGCATTGCAAAGAAAAATTAGACATTTATCTTGATAATTTTATTCCCTCTGTTTGACAAAAAGATGGATAAGATTTTAAACTGTCATGCCTTGTTTTGAGAATTAAGAGGTATTTTCATAATTTTTTGCGAGCTGACGGTAATGTTGCATTATTTCTATCAGCAAGACAATTTGTATAGTTTACATCTTTTAACAATTAATAGTCATTGAGCAATGATTGAATCTCCATAGCCATATAATATACATAATACACCAGAAAGAGTCTTTCTGTATGGTATTTATGTACTTGTCATTTTGTATCTCAAATCTCACTTATTTGTCAGGCTTATTCATTACATTTATGATACTTAAACAAATTGCATGTAAATACCATACCAGACTTTCCATGATGTACAATACAATACAATATTTATTTTGCCATATACGACATTTACAGATGGAAAAAAAAAAAAAAAAATGAAGAAAATTGATGACAGAAAATAAATGGCGAGAAAACCTGAAAGAAACCACGAGGCTTATAACAAGTTAGGCTTTCTCACTTAAAATAACTAATCTTATATTAGAGTTACAATATGGACTTATGGTAATTAACTTTGACCGCGCACACATACACACACACACACGCACACACATATTAAGTAAGTTAGTTAAGAATTACTGCCTTACAGAAGTTAATACCTAGAGAGAAGAAATTCCTTAAGCTTTCTTTTAAAAGAAGCGGAGGAGGGAGAACTAGTTATGTCAGAATTTAGCGAATTATAAAAGTTTGGACCTTGAAAGTAAATTGAAAACTTCCTGGTGTTCGTTCTGCACAGTGGCAAACAGAAGGACTGAGCATTCCTAGTATTATAGTTGTGGATTTGACTATTCAGTAAAAAAAAGTTATTGAATTTGGAAGGGAGTGTAGAGTTCTCGAATGAAAACATAAAAGTACCTAATTGAAACAAATGGATAACATGAAATTTTAAGAGTTTAAGTTCCTTAAAAATAGGGCCAGTATGGGCAATGTATGTAGAATTGCTTACTATTCTTAACGCACATTTCTGTAAGGTTACAATTCTTTGAAGGTTTGACATGTATTTTTGATACATCCTACAATATCAACAATTTATTATCATTGACTGTACGTGTTTTCATTGTTATTGTCCATTGTTGACTTATGGGGGGATGCTATCACAGATGCAAGGGTTGATCACGAAACATTTAAAAACAATAAAATAAACTTGCTCAAAACTTAAAAACAAAAATTTAATCACAAGAATCAATGATTCTTTGGGCAAAGCCCATGGAAGAAAGGAGTTATCTTCACCATTGCAAAGGGTCTTGCTACAGCTCTGCTAATTTATATGTGTACCTTTAATATAACTTGACTGTTACAAGCATCATGCTTACCAAACAAATGTAAAAGAGTTTTATAATTTTGTCACTTCACTTTTCAGAAACATCTGCTTCTCAGTTATATGAGCCATGGATTTTAGTCAAAATGATGACTATATTGGTGAGTTTTGAAAAGGAATTTTGAAATAGAAGAGATGAAAAGAGAATGCAGATGAATGTTGAAATTAGATGGGGATGAAATAAAATAAAATTTTTTAATCAAGCAACCTACTCTGAACATCAGATTAATTTTAATTCTTGAAGCATTCATTAAGATTGCTTTCTAAACGTGGTCACTTTTGTAGGTAACATTTCAGTTTGCATGATTTTGCTCTAGAAAGGGTAATGAAATATTATCAACTGAGTTGATAACAAAAACTGGCCACTGCAAAGATTTTCAAAACTGACATCTCGAGCATTAGCCCTTCATTAGAGCCCTAGCCCTCATCACTCTGACGATTTCTTTAGAGAATTAACCCCTTTGCTCTAGAAAGACTTTTAGAGACTGTCATAGAACATTGGTATCAGTGATACATTATATAAGCTACTGGAAAATTGAATTAAGACTGTATTGAGATACTTGGAAAAGCAGTAGTTTTATTTGTCTTTTAGTTTGTGATGACTGTGGAAAACAATTTATCTCTGGTGATTGTCCTGATCATGGTCCATTGGAATGGTATGGTGACAGCCAGCTGTCAAATGAAACACCTAAAGGAGACCAAGCTAAGTTAACCCTCCCTAACAACCTGAACATCATGCCATCTGCAGTGTGGCAGGGCCAACTGGGTGTGTTTGCAAAGGCAAGGATGGAGAAACAAGTTATTTTTGGACCCTTCAAAGGGCAGAAGATTCCTGCCAAAGAGTTCCCTCTTAGAGAAGATCACAACTTTAAATACATGTGGGATGTAAGTATGCAATAATAACTTATTGTCCTTTTATTGTTCAACTCCTAAAGTGTTCTTTACATGTATTCACAGTGATTGGCTAATAATGGGTTAATGGGTTCAACTCCCAAATGTTCTTTGCATGTATTCACAGTGATTGGCTAATAATGGGTTACTTCTATGAGGAAAGATCATTCATGACCATTTATGAGATTGAA